AAGCATGTCAGTTGCATGTGCAAGCCCAAAGACAGAGGCCAAATGAACTCTGATCTGGTGCAGCGAGGAGCAGGTTAAGACTGCAGGTCTTATGCGGATGAGTGCTTCGCTGCTTCGCAACATCTGTGTTCCCAAGGGACGCAATCATATGCGTCACGGTACATGTGCACCGATTCATCAGTTACGGGCTGGGATCAGGTGCGATGACATTCACGGGGACACCATAGCTCTATGGGCTAGTGTTGAATTGGGCCGAGCTAAAGGTTTGGGCCACTTCAGACGAACCTAAGAAGAAAAAAATTTCTTTTAGGCCAAGAAAACCAAGGCCCAATTGGGCTCTGGTTGGGATCAGAAAACACCCCAGCCGTAGCTGGATGTGCTCGTCGGGGAAGAAGACCAGCACCACCGCTTCAAATGGGCGTGTTTTGGGACAAAAACTCTCGAGGTGAGTTCATGAGGCAATGGGAATCACGAATATAAATGGAGATAGAGGAATCTCAACGTTTCAACCAAAATCCTAGAAATTCGAATCGGAATTTCAAAGAAAATCTGACAAGATTCAAAGGAATCTCAGTCAATCTACATCAGTGGACGAGCTTCAAGCCGTCGGGACGGTGACCCAAGGTCATGGTTGGGCTACAGACCCACCTATAATGGTGAAGACGCTATGAAAGGCGTCGGGGTTTCTGAGTTTTCAACTTGGAGCCCTTGGCTTCGGCTTGTGATCTCACGGCTCAGTGCGGCTCAGCCATACAGGCTACATGCCTGGGCTAGCGGCTCTGATTGTGGGTTTGAAGAACCCTAACTGTTGTCAATTTATTTATTTATTTTTTTCAATTTTAGATTATAAAATTTAATTTCATGCATATTCAATTTAATAATTTAATGTGTGGACATATATTTGATGCAATTCATGACAATAACAAATTCACATAATTCAACAATTATGGATATAATGCATACACAATTTATGTAGAATCTAAAATTCGAAAAACGTAAAGTTGGGTCATGCATTATGGTGAATGTTCATGCTATTGGGGCCGAAAAATATCGAGATAAAAACCGTTGATTTGGAAGAACCTGATTGTGTGATGATATGGATGAATTGGTTTGACGCAGAAAGCTTTAACGTCAGATTCCTAGGTGTAGTGGTAGGAGCGTGCTGATAACATGTTGTGGCCTATGTTTAACTGACAGGGGAAAGAGGCTGGTGACACAGAAAGAAAAGAGAGAGATGTGTTTGTAGAATTGTGTAGAGGAATGTGTGTTATTCCTCCCTATGCAATGCCATTATTTATAGTAATAAGGGAGAGAAGAAATCATTCATCCCTAAGGAATACAAGACCATATAGGAAATAATAACTAGCATCAAATCCAATTTAGGATTTACATAATCACACTTAAACTAGAAAGTTTATAACATCTCTTTTATATATTTTTTACTTTTATAATAAAATATCAGATAATACAAAATAAGAACAAGAACAAATATGAACATAAAATAGGATAGCATTAATTAAGCCGTTAACTCAAATTAATAAAAATGTTTATATACATTAAAATTATGGGACTTTACAATTGATGATGCTGAGTGATCTTTGATCTTTCCCATAAGCATCATTGAATTCTCATTGGTTTTGATTGAACTTTCCACAAAATGCAACTTTTGTAATTTTCAAGGTAATGAGTCCAGTGTACACACACACACACACACACACACACACATATATATATATATATACATATATATTATACAATACTATATTGTATTATATATAAGTTATATTATATTCTATTCTATTATACATATGTTTATTCGGATTGGATATCTGAAACCATAACCGAACAAATAATTCCGGTTTTTTCTTTTCCCATATCCAAAATATACTCAAATCTTCATCCTCAAATCCGTTCCATTCAGATGGTTATCAAGCTTAACGATTTGAATTGTCATCTCTATGTGTAAGATTAAAATCTAATTTTAGTTCCTTAATACTTTAATCACCTCATTTATTTATTACAATTAGATGTTTTAATTATTTCTCTTTTTAGGAAATTTTATTGTATTAGTTAGGAGAAAATATACATAAAATCTACTTTTAACTTTTAATTTTGAATTGAGATAATGTTATTAAATTATTGATTCGGAAACCGAACCAAACCAAATCGAATCGGACCGATTTAAATATAATTAATTTTATTTATGTTGGATATTTATTTTCTAACCCAATTTCAAATCAATCATTAATATAATTTTAAGCCCAAATATATTGAAAACTTCAAGCCGATTAGATATCCTAAACAAAGAACTTTTGTATACATAATTCAAGCCACATATTGTAAAAGTAGACCAAAACAAAGAACAATTGTCAGCTTTTCTCGTCAACACCTACAATTTCCCTCTCCTTGAGCGCGCTAAGAATAATGAGTGGTGCGACCAGACGAAGAAGAAGGAGTTGCTAGAGTGGATTGGCAGACCTTTCTTTGTAGTGTATCCATATGTGAGAAACTTTAATTATATGCATGTTTTCTTGGATTTAATCCTGCGTTTTTATTAAATCTAGGGATTTATTTCCTCCATTGCAATTGGCTTTGGTTTTACTTTTATTTCTTTATTGGCCTCTTTGCACGCGCTCACGCGCATACATGAGACATTTTTATAATCAGGGATGCTACCGTTAATTATTTTCTTCTCATATCGAGTCATAAAAATGAAATAGAACATACAACTAGAAATAAAAGAAAATAGAACATATTTAAGTCGCATGTAAAATGCATGAAAAAATAAAGGATTTTGCACGCGCAAAAGCACGTTTGAAGAACTTATTAAATAATACAACAAAGAATCAAATAACAGAGTAAAAAACATTAAACAATTAATCCATGACCATAAGGTGAAGAGTAAAATTCATAAATATCATCTCGTCATTACAGTACCACAAAATACAGCCCACTTCTATCACATTACCGCTCCACTACAGAGTGAATATGTGATCTTTTATGTATTTCTAAATCACATTATTATAGATATTACGTTGCATTTTAAACATTTGTACATAATGTTATAATCGGTACTAACAATAAAATAAAAATATTAGAGATGATTTCCTGAATTATCCTAAAACCTTGAATTATACAAAAGCAATGATATAATTATATTACCAATTAGTAGGCGTTCAAAAGGAAGATACATAAAAATGAAGCACTCCAAACACCAACAGAACGGGAAAGAAAACGGAAATTTTCTTGAATCTTCAAGTTCCTCGGTGAAGCAATCCTTATACGGCCTCTCGCAAGCCAAAAGCCTTTTATGCCTACAGAAAATTTTGTCTACATAACATGTAATCCATTAATTATGCAGTCTCTCCCCCACACCTTTCCTGAGGCCAGTCAGACCTGACGATGTCGTGTTGTTTGTTTTGATATTCCCACCGACCCAATACTCTATGCCGTTCAACTGGCAACACAGCAAAGCTGCGGAGCTCTCTGTAAGGCAGACGAAGTACAACGTTATTACAACAACAACAAAAAAGGAAAACTAATGAAAATGACTTAAAATTTTTTAATTTTAACAAACATTGTATCTGATACAGTGTTATGTTTTGGGTTCTCCAGAAACAGTTTTATGTTATGGTTCTTTCTATACATTTTATAGAAAGAAAAATGATGAGACTAAGACCCAAATGTGCTAATCTATCATGATTAAGGAGGGAGTCAAATATACAATGGCTTGAATTCTAAATTAAATTGACATGTATAAAATAATGTAAATTTGTTGTTCACTTAAAGTCTGCGTTTTGAGAACCTGTGAGGTCCTCAAAATAAATGCCTTCAAATTAATCTAATGGTAGATTAACTTATAAACTTAAACCATTATGATTCGGATTTTGCACCGTCGTTGGAAAATTTGAATTCTCTTTCAAGCTTCTCTAAAAGGACTTTGCTATATATATATCCACAAAATTCTAGGGTTTCGGTATACAATTCAAATCCAAATGAATAGATGGAATACGGATGCCTTTATATGGTTTGTTTTGCGTAAAGGTTCTTGGTGGTCAAATTAAGGTTTCTTTTGTGGCTGGAAAAAAACTCAGAGAGAGATAGATGGAGGGAGGAAGCACGTGCGGGGATGAAGATTCTAGGATTTTGATTTTGCGACGCGAAAAGTTTATCACCCATGGAAGAAGCTCTACCGTGCTTGAACTTCTTGGTTTCTACCGCTGGAAGGATTTTGGTTCAGACGCTTGACTTCTTTCTTTATGTTTTGGATGATTTTTTATTAAACTTTTGAGCTCTTTTGGTTAAATAACATTTTGACATGGTTTTTGGTTAAATATTTCTTGATCTAAGCCTTTTTCCTTAAAGCTCCCAACAAAAAAGCAATAAATAAATTATATTCACTGATTTTACATTAACATTAATTTATAAAAAGAAAAAACTTGAAAGCTAAAATTATATTTAATAGTACCTAACACCAACTAACGGCTGTAAATTGACTACTCTTAGTCGTTTTTTATGACATGCTTCAACTTGAAAAAAGGTTCTAGGCAGTTTGCATCATTTATAAGCATTCCAATTATTCTGCAAAGACCAGTGAATAAACGCTTTCATTGTCATTTATGATATCTAATAGAAACGAAATAATCAGAAGCATGTCATTCAAATTCTTGATTGTTACTAAGACAATAATTAATGGGGAGGGAATTAGAAGCATGTCAAAGCATTTCTCGATTGTCATTTCAACGTGGATGTTAATTGGACTGAATAATATGTAACCCATCGGATGAGAAATTAAACAGGAGAAGAAAAATCAAAAGTTTCTTAACTGATTGAGAGAACTAAGAAAAATTGAGAAATAACTAGCTACATTGGTTAAAGTTTTTCAAGTGTTATATAAAATAAATTTGAAGTCGTTCGTTTCGGTTTAGGTCGTTTCTAAATTAACCGCTATACAATTTGAAAACAGAAACCCACACCAAATCGGATAAATCGGGCCCGTTTGACATCGAATCGGGCGAGCTGCTACAGCGGGTTAGGGGCCGTCGAGTCGGTGGAGTAAAGAGTCTCTCACTCTCACCCTAAACCCTAAACCCTAAACCCTGAACCCCGAACGTTTCGGAAATAGCTGTTTATAATCTTTTTTATTATACATTTTTATCTTTCTTCTTTCCTTCCCAGAGCCGCCGCCGCCTCTTCTCTCAGTCTCTCACTCTGTTGTAAAGTAAGTCCTCTATCTCTCTCCGTCGAAGCTCTACTACCGCAGCGTCCTTTGCTAGTAGTTTCTAGTGTTGGGATTTTGTTTTTATATTCTGTGTTTTCAATTTGTTTGCAGCTTTTTGTAGGCGGGTTTGTTAATGGATCGAATTAAACAATCATTTTTTGTTTAGATTTCTTGTTGTTTCAATCGAATCATACCATTTTTTATAGAACAAATGCTCGATTAATTCGGGGATTAGGAGGGTGTGTAATTTGTTATAAAAAAATATCTCTATTTTCGTTGGCAAACCTTGTTTGGTCTATTTATACGATTCTTATCGGTAATTTTGATTACTTTTGTTGGGGATGTTTTGTTCATTTGTTGTTAAATTTGTGAGAGGTGAAAGAAGTAAAATGCTTTTAGTTTATTGGGATAAGTCGGGATAGGGTGGAAACCATTTATCGGTCATGGCAGGGTGGGGAGGAAGGGCCAATTACAAGGACGAACGTGATTGTTTTCTGAATTTCTCTCAAATTTACGTTCGTCTTAGATTACGAAGAAGTAACAATTGACTTTGAATATTGCATGCTTGTTTCATATCGAAATAGTTTTTAATATTCAGCTTAGGTTTGTAGGGTTCTGACATGAATTTCCCTTTCATCATGAAAGTTACGATTTTGGTAATGAAGTTATGATTCATTATTTTCAGCAGAATAGGTACTACATTTATTTAGCATTTGTCTGGTGTCTGATGTTATGGTGTTGGCGGGGTAGTTATAAATTTTTGGGTTGAGCAGTTAACTTTTGTTACTTTTATTAATATTATTAATAAAAACTAATGCGAATCTAAGTTAGACATTTTAAATCAATGACGTGCTGTGAAAATCAGTTTCGAATTCAAATTGAATTGGATACTTCATGTTTTCTACTTTTAGTGTATGGCAGTCGACCTTGGTGTTAACTTGATTTTATTCTTTTCTGCAAACAGACCAATTAGTAAACATGGTGCAGCATAACTTTAAGAAGATGACTGTTGTACCAAATGGGAAGGACTTCATTGACATAATCCTATCTCGCACCCAGCGGCAGACCCCAACTGTAGTCCACAAGGGTTATGCAATTTCCCGCCTTCGTCAGTTCTATATGCGCAAGGTGAAATATACCCAACAGAATTTTCATGAGAAGCTCTCCACAATTATTGATGAGTTTCCTAGGCTTGATGATATCCACCCTTTCTATGGCGACCTTCTTCATGTTCTCTACAACAAAGATCACTTCAAGCTTGCACTGGGCCAAATCAATGCTGCAAGGACCCTTATTGGAAAGATTTCTAAAGACTATGTGAAATTGTTGAAGTATGGTAATTCACTTTACCGAAGCAAATGTCTCAAGGTCGCTGCTCTTGGCCGTATGTGCACGGTGATAAAGAGGATCGGTCCTAGTTTAGCTTATCTAGAACAAATTAGGCAACACATGGCAAGGCTACCTTCAATTGACCCTAATACCAGGACAGTATTGATTTGTGGGTATCCAAATGTTGGAAAGAGTTCATTCATTAACAAGATTACTAGGGCTGATGTGGATATCCAGCCCTATGCTTTTACCACCAAATCACTCTTCGTGGGACATACAGATTATAAATACTTGAGGTACCAGGTAATTGATACGCCGGGGATTTTGGACCGACCTTTTGAAGACCGTAATATAATTGAGATGTGCAGCATCACAGCTCTGGCCCACTTGAGAGCTGCGGTGTTGTTCTTCTTGGATATCTCGGGGTCTTGTGGGTACAACATTGCCCAACAGGCATCTCTTTTTCACAGCATTAAGTCTCTATTTATGAACAAACCACTGATTATAGTCTGCAACAAGACTGACTTGCAGCCACTGGAGGGCATATCCGAGGAAGACAAGAAGTTGGTCGCAGAGATGAAAAATGAAGCAATGAAGACAGTGATTGGTCAAGGAGGTGAGGCTACAAACGATGAGGGGGTACTCTTGACCATGAGCACTTTGACCGAGGAAGGGGTGATTTCTGTAAAGAATGCAGCTTGTGAGAGGTTGTTGAATCAGAGAGTAGAATTGAAGATGAAATCGAAAAAAATAAATGAATGCTTAAATCGTTTTCATGTTGCATTGCCAAAGCCTCGGGACAGCAAGGAAAGGCCCCCGTGTATACCTCAGGCAGTTTTAGAGGCTAAGTCTAAGCAAGCAGCGGAGAAGGAAAAGAGGACTACAGAAAGGGATTTGGAGAATGAGAATGGCGGTGCTGGTGTGTACTCTGCCAGTTTGAAGAAGCACTATATCTTAGCTAATGACGAATGGAAAGAGGATGTCATGCCAGAAATTCTTGATGGGTACAATGTATGTGACTTTGTTGATCCTGATATATTTCACAGGCTTAAGGAGTTGGAACGAGAAGAAGGACTCCGGCACAAAGAGCAGGGTGATGATGATTTTGAGATGGATGCATTGAAACTGACTCCAGAAGAGCAAAAGATGTTGGCGGGGATAAGGAAAAAGAGAAGCAAGTTCATTCAACAACATAGAATCAAGAAGAGTACAGCAGAGAGTCGACCAATTGTACCAAGGAAATTCAACAAGGATAGGGAGTTCACAACAAAGAGAATGGGGAGGCAGCTTACAAAGTTGGGGATTGATCCTACTATGGCAATTAATCGAGCCCGAAGCAGATCTGTCTCCAAGGGTCGGAAGAGGGAGCGATCAGTTGACGGGGGTGATACTGATGGTGGGGATGCTATGGACATGGATGTTGATGCACCCAACAAGAAGCAGCTCATGTTATCTAGATCCCGCTCCCGCTCAAGATCAAGGCCTCCAACTGAAGTTGTCCCTGGAGAGGGCTTCAAGGACTCTTCCCAAAAGGCCAAGGCAATAAAGAAGGCCAGGAAATCTAATACGATGCGAAACAAGAATGCTCGTCGTGGAGAGGCTGATAGGGTCATTCCCACTTTAAAGCCAAAGCACTTGTTTTCTGGAAAACGATCAATTGGAAAAACTCAAAGGCGCTGAATGTTTTTGAGGTACTTAAAACAACTTGGATCACTTTCTGTTCAGCTTGTTTTTTATTTAAGCATGCTCTGGAAAAAAGTTACATATTCCTTGTTCCGGGCCATAGCTGTAGGCATGCATATATTTTGTGCGTATTAGGATTTACATAGCCGATCCCACTTAGTGGGAAAAGGCTTTGTTGTTGTTGTTGTACATTTTTTAAGGGAGATGTTGCATTCTCTAACTTTTATGTCTATTACATACATTTTCTTGTAGGTATATTCAAGACTGAATTCATGCGCTCAATCTTCTTGATGCATAAGCTAGAAATCAACATGTCTTTTGTTCTTGCAGGGTGGTAGGTTCGTGCTTTTGGAGTATTACGTATGCACTTGCTGCTGAAATGGAACTTAGTTCCTTTGTTTCTGTTCTGGCCCGGCAGGAGCTTGCAGCATGCGAGATGAAGCAACCAGTCTTGGTTGTTTTATTACTTTTTAGTTGTGTTTTTGTTTAGGAAATTTTGGATCCGAGACATTCCCGAACTACAATGTTTTGTGTAGAGTTGAGTTTACAATTAATTGGTTACTTTGTTCCTTTTGCTTGTAATTTGACAACGTGTGAACCTGGCCCAAATGAAATTGCAGTTTGTGTTTATACACATTCAAGTTAAATTTTGGATACTCGCTGAAGAAAATGAAGTGTACTTTTGGATTTTCTCGAAGGTAATGTAGTGTCCTCAGTCTGTCCGTCCCTTTGCACTCGAGTTCAAGAAGGGGAATACGCTAGTTTAGAATATTGTCAGGTCAAAACAAAAAACAAAATCTAATGATAAAGGCCAATGATGGAGTAGAAAAGTTTGTCCAAGTGTTTCAGAGAGAAGTGGTTTTGTTGCCCACATTTGTGGTTCTTCCATATTCATTCTCTTGCCAAAGCATATAGCCTGAGTTTGGAAGGAGAAAGATCAAAGGGGTGATTTCCGAAATGATTATGTGCAAAAGAATCGTATGAATATATTTATTTCCTTCATTTCCTTGTCGTTAAAATCTTGCAATTAATGTGGAGATGTTTTGATCAATCATCATCATCCCACCCATCGTGATTGGCATATGTATTCGATAAAAGAGCATGAGTTCCAATGCTTACTCCCTTACTGTTGAGGAGACCATTCCGATGATCTCAAACATCTCATTCCCATGAATTTTGCAGGCATTAAGCAACGCTCCAAAACAGCGCCGTCTACTTCTGTTGGCATTTCTTTAATGAAACCCTCTGCTTCCTCCAAGAACCCCGCTCGCCCAATTACTCATGTGTTGCTGCGTTTGAGGGACAATCCCGTAGACATTTTTCATAGCATTCAAAAAACATCAACCCTTGATCGACTACAAAGCCATTCTCGGCCGGAACTGGTTGCACAGCATGGGAACCATTACCTTGACTAACCATCAGCTGCTTCGTCATCCAGCCCCGATCAAAATTTATAAAAGGCAGGACGCCGGAAGCTGAAGGATCGACATCAAGAAAGGGACGGAATTTGTGGTGAAATGTAATTACCAAATTGGCCATAATTTTTTTAGTTTTGATGAAAGGATTAGAATAGTAATTTTCTAAAGTTTTGGTTGACAAACAGAGTTCTATTAATATGTAGTTTTGATTCTATTAATAGGTAGTTTAGATAAGTACTTGGTGAAGTTTCTTTCACCAAATCGACAAAGTCAAATAAAACTGGCTGCCACTTAGTACTACGCTTTAGTAGTATTCTTCTTCACTTGTAAGTGAGAGGTCTTAGGTTCGATTTTCGTCAAATGCGAATTTGAACCACATTATTGCTAAGCCTATTACGAGGTACCCCTTAGCGTAAATAATATCGTTTGTTAAAAAAAAAAAAAACAGGCTCAACAACTTAAAGTGCAAAACAACACATTAAGTACAAACAAAAGGTGACACACCCATCCCTGATATCCATCGAATACCAGGGTAGGCATGTGCTGGCCGACACCCGAAGGTGACAAAGCCATATTAGGATGCATGAGAAATAATATATATAAACAATACTTATAAATTTAAATACAATGATTATGCAATTATGGAACGTGTTCAGAGCATACAACTAATCATAAACCCTAAAAAGGAATAAATAAAATTGAATGAACAAAGAGATGGGTCCTACACCGAGATGACTCGAAGATGCCGTTGAGATTGTACGCCTCGATTCTAAGTTCTGAGGGAGCGCAAAACAAAACATGAGTGGACCCAGTAGATATATAGTAATACTAAAATAGTTATTCAACAACATACTAACCCCCAAAGTTTATGAAAACTCAATAGTATAATATGTCATAGGTTTTTCGAAAACCCTAGCATGCCATAAAACCTTTATAAAACATATAGTATATATAGTGTGCTTAGTAGTGTGTGTGTGTGTGTGTGTGTGTGTGTGTGTGTGTGTGTGTGTGTGTGTGTGTGTATTAGGCATTTACAATATTACATTCGCCGGAAAGCATGTATAACACTTTTTCATTCATTCGAAGGTTCTACATCACGCACCCGTAGGCAGATCATTTGCCCGTAGGCAGTATCATTCGCCCGTAGGCATTACATCTCCCGGCTGAAGCCAATATAAATATCTCCCGCCTGTAGGCACCAACTAACGCCCGACCATAGCCAACATCAATATTTCCTACCTGTAAGCTCCTACATCACCCACCCGAAGGCATATAAGTATCAATCGCCCGTGGGTAGAACATACACCCGTAGGCAGGATATACGCCTATAAGCAGAACATAAACCCGTAGGTAGGACCGTTCGAATAACCATTAAGTAAGTACATAAGTATATATCTATCTTAATCATAGTTCACTAGCTAAAACGTCATATTGTAAAACCTATTTGTAGTATATAGTCATCAATCATGTATACTACGAAGAACATGAAAATCAATAAAGTATGGTATTCCAAAATATTCTCAGTAAAGCATGATATCTCATAAAGTGTAAATCTAATGTACTAATAAACGTTTCATAAAATGTAACCATTAAATCATGCTTTTCATGTATGCATTTCTAATAGTAAAATATACATTTTAAAAAGGATCCACTCATAGATACTTCGTTGTCAAAGAGCTGTGCAACCTAGTGAAGCTGAAAACGCCATCAACAATTGCACCTAAGCACTTAAAGGGTCCCATTAATAAAACTCTATTGAAACGATTGAATTAGGGAAAACGAACGTCGGAAACTGATTCAGGATGTCGAATTACCTTAAGAGGGGTCCCGGACAAATTTCCCAAGAATATTCCCTGACAGAATATTCCCTGACGGAATATTCCATCTGAGTTGTGCTTGGTCTTGGGTTGGGCCGGTTCTGGGCTGGTTTTGAGTTAATGGGCCAGTTCCTCATTTGGGTTTTGGGCCAAGACATTTAGGTTGGGCTAGGCAACTAGGCCTAGGCCTAGGTTTGGGTTTTTTTTTGGGTTTAAATGGGTTTGGGCTGGGTTCGAAGCGATTTGGGCTTGCAATTGGGCTAGGTTTGACTTGGGTTCTGGGTTGGGCAATTGGGCCAACCTTCATGGCCCAACAAGTTGGGTCGGCCAAGGGTAGTGGGTCGTGTTCAACTTGTTCTCAGGCCAAGTTGGCCGAGTTTCGAAAAAAGGAGAAAGCCGGAGCTTCCATGCTCCGTTCAACCTTAAAACTCACACAACAAAGGTAAAACAAAATACCAAAATGAATCCCAAAGAACAAGGAAGAGATTCGTACCAATTTCAAGGCATGTGGTGGCTGGAGTTGGCCGGAAAGTGATATGAAAATCACGACATTCTCCCCGGAATCTGGGTTTCAAAGCATTCTTCGTTCTTGTATGATTTTGTGGTTCACAAGGCAAACCTAAGTTACAAACTAAGCTACAAAGATGAAAAGTGAGGATCAAGGGTATCCTGGAGCTTACCCCATGTCGGGAAGATAAAGAACTCGCCAAGATCTCTCCAAGCTTTTGCCCTGGTTCTGTGGTGCTACCATCCTTGTCTACACTTGCAGAGGGAAAAGAAGAACACGAGAGATAAGGGAGGTCTGAGAGGGAGAAAGAGTGTTGGTGTGTGTAGGTGTGCTCGAGGAGTTAGAGATGGGAGAACACAGAAATGGAAGAGAAAGAGAAAGGAAGAGATACCTTACGGGGAGAGAAGAGAAGAGAGAGGCCGAGGGACAAAAATCAAGGGTGGCCCCCAGAACTCACTAACAAATCCTATAAAAGATAAAATAAGAAAATATCTACCTTGAGTGTGAAATTACCATTTTACCCTTTCGATTTGCCAAAACCAGGACAGGTTGTTACAAAAGGGCCCTGCTAATAAACATGACTTCCATATTTAAAGAAAATCTATTGAGCTTTAAAGCAACTCCAATGTAAAGACTTAAATATTATACCTATATTATTATACTTGAATACCAAAAAGGAGAAAAATTTATGTCAGAGTTAATTTGCCACTAGACGATGCTTAGTGTCACCACTATCCACTCAAAACTTGTCATGTGATAAGCTTTAAATATAACTTTTAGGATAAATTATACAAAACTACCTCAACTATGGTCAAACTACAGTCTCATACTTCATGTTTTGAAAATTACAATATCATACCTCAACTTATGAATTCATTGCAATGTTAGACCTCCGTTAAATTTTTTGTCAAATTGGCTGTTAAATGATGACATTGCAGGAGCGGGGTCTACTCCTTTATTAAATGAATAAAAAAATTAATTAATTAATTTTTTATCCAACAATTAATAAATTAATTTTTTATTTAACAATTAATAAATTAAGAATTTTTATTTAACGATTAAAAATTAATTTAAAAAAAAATCATCAGACCCCCACTTCACCCAATGGTGAAGCTACATAAGAGCAAGGAGTGGCGGCCACCCCTCCGATCATCGAAAATTGCCACTGAGAGTGAAGATTCCATCCCTTCAATCTTTTAAACCCGCTGGTATTTGGGGTTGGTGCACTATACTGTTAGGTTTTATTGTTTTCAAGGGAAGAAGATGACTTAAAATCAGACGGCATCATACTTTGTTCTATGCTATTAGTGCTATTAGTATAACTCTTTTCCTTTAAATGAAACGGTGTGGTTTAGTGGTGGGCTCCTTTAGTTTCTTCTTTATTTTTTAATTTTACTGATGTGGGCATCTTTTCCAATCGCACTATGGTTTAGTTGATTAATCATGATTTACCAAAGAAACCAGCCCACCATGTCAATTCTCTGTCCTCTCTCTCATTTTTTTTAGACTAAAGAAAAACAAAAGGCTGATGTTTGTTATTGTCCTTTTCAATTCTTGATATTTTTTCAGAATTTAAAATATTTTCTTTTAATTTTTCGAGATGATGACTTGTTTCTTGATGTACAAAGTTTTGTGAGGAAAATGATATTAGTATTCCTAACATGGAGGATTTGCATTTTGTACCTAAATAATCAAAGCATAAAGCTCCAAGACTCACAAGTTTTCATTACTATCGTGTACCTCTTTTTTTAAGTCCTTGATATGCAACTCAAAGAATTGAAAGATCGCTTCAATAAGGTAAACACCAAATTGCTTCTTTGTATGTATGTTTGAGCTGGTGAATAATTTTTGCATCTTTTGACCAATAAAAATAGTTCGTTTTGCCCAATTTTATCCTCAAGATT